GGACTCGTGCGGCCACGGACCGTTCGGCATGACGTCGGGGATGACGAACGGCACCACGCCGCCCGCCTGTTTCTGGTCGGCAACCAGGTCGCGGAGCCAGTTGCTCAGGAAACCGGCGCCGTCGTAGAGAAAACTGGCCGTGGGGCCGAACACCTGAATATCGCCCGTCCAACCGAGGCGCTCATCACGTTGGGGGCAGTCAGACGGGATAGAGAGAAAGTTGGAGCGTAGTGACCAAGTCACGTTGGAATGAAGCTGGTTCAGCGACGCATTGGAACACTTGAAGTGCCCGGTGCGGACCATGGAGGTGTGCATGACGGCAACCGAGATGGAGTCCAATGTCAATGGCTCCGAAGCGTCAGACGGCGACCACCCGTCGATCTCGATGTATCTGAAGCCATGAAAGGTGAATTGAGGTGAATAGTCGACCAGCGGCTTGTCTGAGAATGTGATCCTGTCTGTCGCTTTTGCGCAACGCAATGGTCGGACACCGAGTTCGCCGTTCTCGAGAACCTCGGCATGTTTGATTGTGAGAGAATGCCCCGAAGGTCGACTTAGCGAGTGGATTCGGATCTTGCCCGAAAAATTCTGGCCAAAGTCGACCAGAACCTTGCCGGAGGGGGACTCCTTGATGCTAACGGGCTTTACCAGCTCGGTCACCTTGACAGGAGGACACGGCGACGCCAGGAGCTTCGTCTCCGGAAACTGGAGCTTCTTGACTGCTTGCCAGTCTTCCGACTTCTGTCCTTGGAATGAGACATTGGCCCAATCCTCTTCTTCCTGACGCATATCATATTCTTCTCCGTCATAGATACCACTCGACAGGATCGGAGACTCCTTCCACTCCCATTTGTCGTCAGTTTGTACCGCGATCTGTGCCTCCGAATCACTGTCCGTGCCGACCTCGAGCTGAGCAAGGGCGCCAATCTCATCGCCGTAGAAGCATGTGAAACCTTCGCCCCAGACAACGCGGCCGGCATACCAGCCTTCCGCGACCTCGATGGCGAGAGTATTCTCGCATCCGGTCTGGAGCAGGTCGGCCACGTCATATACTTGATACTGCAGTCTGTGTTGATAGGACGTCCAGCCCGGTGCCATGTGCTCCTCGCCTATCCTGGTGCCGTTGAGGTATGCGACGTAGACGCCCAGCGCAGTGATGTAGAGCCTCGACCGCGCGGGCTTCGAGTCCAGCTTGAACGTCTTGCGGAGCCTGATGGGCCGGAAGTACTCGGTGCGCTTGCCGCCCTCGGGCAGAGCGGTGCGCTTGGAGCTCGTGATGAAATCCGCCGACCAGTCTTTTCGCTCCAGCAGGCCGGTCTCGACGGAAGCCCAGTCGGACCATTCCGTCAAGGACGCCTGGCCCTCGGTAGAGCCTGCTTTCGTGCCGCTAACGCCAGACGCTCTCACTCGTATACTTGCGCCGTCCCGGGAGGTCAAGGGCGCACCCGGCCATGATACCAAAACGTTGTCGTCGCCGTCTACTTTGAACGACTTGGTCTCGGAGGACCTCCTGTCCTTGACTTCAATTTCGTAGGACGTCTGAAGCCAGTTCTGAGGACTCGACGCAGACTTTGATTCATATCGCCATGAGACGCGCGGACGAGGCTCGTTGACACCCAGGCCGGTCGGATGGTGCTCGAACCGGATGTCCGTCACCGACGGTGTACTCGCCATTCTGAGTTTCTCTCTTGGAATTACCGACAGGCTTTGCTGATGAAGCTTTTGCGTTGGCTTCTTCTTTCTCTGCAAAAGCGTCGAGTAAGAATAAGGATATACTACTTGGACTCCTACAGGAGCCAAAGGGACATGCCGAGCTCGTCCATCGGCGAGATCATGGCCCGACTAACTAGCGGCGCGGGGCCCCGAAAATTGGAGTCGATCATAGAAAGTAGAGAGTATTGGGGAGTTGAAAGCCGGTAAGACACCGGCTTTCCCGCATCATTATTGGACAACATGCACCCGAGTCCTTGGCGAGCTTCTGGGATTATCGATGGGCGGGACGTCTTGTTCTGAACATAAGGCTCCTGCGTCGGAGCCTGGCTCAACTTCGGCTGCTGTACGAGCACTAGAGCAACGAAAGGTTGCGAAACGGATCACCTGGTTCTACTTATAGTGGGGGGTTTGTTTGTGCGGGGACTGCTCAAGTGGGCGCTCGGTGAATCATGGACCGAAATGAATCTCACGATGGCAACGTGGAGAACTTGGAAAAGAATAACGACACTAGAAACATTGTTCACAAACTCGACTGTTCAGACCCTTTCGAAAACGGGCATATAGCCAAGAGGGGCGTCTACGGTCACAATATCTCCACCTTTGAGAACCTCACCCTCAACTTGCCCTTGTGCCGAGAACCTCTTCCAGTCTGCACCTGTGGGTAGGGTCAGCTCCCTCTGCCTCTGTCCAGGCTCGAGGATGGGAGCTACGAGGTACTTGGGGCCAAACATGTACTCCTGGGTACTGTTCCATGCCTGGGGATCATGAGGGAACTCATAAAACACTGGCCGGATCACAGGGTCACCGTGAGCATGCGCCTCGTGCATCACCTCCCGAACATAGTCGCGAAGAGTCTCGCGTAGGGCGAGATACGTCTTGCAGATCTCGTAGACCTCTTCGCCGTAGGACCAGACCTCGTTGGGGGCCCCGGAGAGACACCAGCTGCCGCCCGTGTCGCCGTGTTGGGGCTGCTTGGGCTCTCGATCCCCGTGGAGCCGGAAGACGGGGCAGAAGGCACCCCACTGGAACCATCGCACCAGGAGCTCGCGGAAATCCGGATCCTTTGTGTCGCCGCCGTGGAACCCGCCGATGTCTGTCGTCCACCAAGCGATTCCAGCCATGCCTGCGTTCAGACCTGCCGCCAGCTGACTGCGGAAGCTCGACCACGAGCTCGCCACGTCGCCGGACCACAGAAGTGTTCCGTACTTCTGGCTACCTGCCCAGGCACATCGGACAAGGTTGAGGACCTTGTCTTGACCGGCTTCCTTCATACCTTCATAAAACCCCTGCGAGTACCGTACAGGGTACGAGTTGCCAATCATCAGGTTCGGCCCCGTGTGGTATCTGTAGATATCAAAGTCGTAGACGGTATACTCGGGCTCCGCCTCGTCGAGCCAAAAGATGCGGACGCCCTTGTCATAGTAATTGGCCTTTGCCTTTTCCCATACGTACTTCCTAGCCGCCGGGTTGGTGGGATCGAAATGGATGCAATTGCCAGAGCCAAAGTCCATAGAGATGCGCCAGCCTCGGTCCTGGCGGACGAGCAGCCCCTTTGCCAGCATCTCATCGTAGTTCTCAGATCTCCTGTCGACTGTTGGCCACACTGATACCATGAGCTCGATGCCAAGTGATTTGAGCTCACTGATCATGGCGTCTATAGGGAGATAATTAGCAGAGCCGATACCACCAGTGGGCAGATGACATACCAGGATCAGGCCAGAAGGTAGGGTCAAACTTCCACTCTCCCTCCTTTGGCCAGTGGAAGAAGTCGACGACAAGTACGTCCATCGGCAGACCTCGGCGCTTGTGTTCCCGGGCCACTTCGAGGAGCTCCTCCTGCGTTTGGTATCGCAGCTTACACTGCCAGAAGCCCAAGCCGTACTCGGGCATCTCGGGAACGGTGCCGACCGCCCGGCCGTAAGCGCGGACGATCTCCGCCGGCGTCTCGCCGGCCACCACCCAATAGTCCAGAGCGCGCGTCGAGAGCGCCTCAAAGGTGGTGACGTTCTTGCCAAACACGGCGCGTCCGACGGCCGGGTTGTTCCACAGAAGCCCGTAGCCGTGCGACGAGACGGCGAACGGGATCGAGGCCTGCGAGTTCCTCTGGGCCAGCTCCAGGTCCGCGCCCTTGAGGTCCAGGCAGGGCTGCTGATACTGGCCCATGCCAAAGATCTGCTCGTCCGGGTCCGCCTCGAACCTGGCTCGCAGATGCCACGAGTCCGACCCGAGCCGGGGCTGGAACTCGCGGGCCGAGATGTTCAGAGAGCTGCATTTGGGATCTCTCCGATCGGCTTGAATGCGGCTATACTCTTCCAGCAGGGTCTTGCCGCCGGCGTCTGTTATAGTCAATTGTCCCCATTGAGACACTGTCGCTGTGATGCTGCCGTTCTTGATCGAAGCTTTATTGTCAGTGATCTGAATCGAGACATGGGCGTGTTCGGGCAGTGGCTCCGTCAATGCCCAGTCCTCGGCGGGCAGTGAAGCTTCATGTGTGGCTCTAACACGCAACGCATTCACTCCCCATGCCTCAATTCTGAGCGTTTCGGAATCATAACGGTAAACGAGGCTCGTTTTCTCTGGATTTGAAAACATGCTGTTGAGAAATCAGGTACTGTTATGATGAACTGTGGAGGTAGGTAGTATGTAGAGTAGCAATAGTCCGAATCGTGCCGGTCGAGTACAGGAGACAATTCGATGTATGCAGACTCTCGAGTTCAAATTACTTAATGCTGAGTGAGTAAGAGCTTATTTGATAATATAGAGTACCCGATCATAGATGCACACGGCGAAAGTCAAAACTGCGGCAATGATGATCTCGGCGTCTCCTGCAATTCGCTGCCAATTTTCGCACGAATCGCATTGCTGAACACAGATAGACATGCATTTCCTAGCCGCTGCTAGGCACGAGTGCATACGAAGATCAACTTATTTATTAGCCTGATCATGCAGCAAACCGTCACCTCGGGTAATGTTTTCATTTATTCTAGCTGGGCATCTATACAACTCCACTTCAACAATGACACGATCGTAAAAGAGTATAAATATCTATATGTCCATAGTCAGTCCGTCAAAGGATAAGGCTAATTTAATTAATATGTGTACAAGCTACAAATTGTAAATTAAAGGTCAAAACTACCGTTGGCTAGCAAAACATACATGCATACCTTGTCCAAGCAAGCTGCGCATAACACGACCAAAAACCACAAAAATAAACCAAAAACAGAATGCACCAACATCGTCTATGCCGTATAATTAGAAACAGGGTGATGAGATGCAAAAAGAGAAGTCGACGAGGCAGGGACTCGAACCCTGAATCTCTACCACCGGAAAGTAGCGCCTTACCATTAGGCCACCCCGCCTTGGGTGTTGTGGTTGTCTTAAGCCACTTGTGGCAAAGTTGTGCTTACTGCAATCTATAATAGTCGGTGCAAGGACTGTTGTACCCACAAGGTGGACAATCTTCGCCAACCAACACAACTAGCATTATGTGGGCTACGCATTTGTGGAACATATTGGTGGTCGGATGTTTGCAAAACCTATGGATTTGGTATTTCAGGTGGAAGTTTTTTTCTTCTTGCGAATTGACTCGCGGAGTGTTGAGATATTTGTGGCACTCCCCAAGTGCAATCTTGACGTCCATGGTCTTTGCACTGTATAGTTGAAGATTACCTATGGATTCAATCATTCCAGGCAGACCATGTCAATAAGCTAGATCTCGTTCATGGTCTTTGCCTCGATGTTTGCACAGACATCGAGCCCCCCAAAAAGTGTACATCCAGGACGATTAGCCGTCGTGGTCGTGTATACTAGAGGCGTATCGTTCGGACGGCCGTCTCCATCAAGACTGATCGAGTTACTGGTCAATCCTGTGCTGAACGCTAGTCCTGGATATCAATCACCACCTTGCCCCTGCAGCGGCCCGTGTCCAACTTCTCAAAGGCGGCCTTGACCTTGGTGAATCCAAAGACGCTGTCGATGATGATGTCTCTGCTGTCCAGCCTCGCGGCCTCTTCCAGCCACTGTGCTTTCGTCTCCAGAATGATGCAGTCGTACGAGTGCCCCAGGCCCACGGCGCCCAGGAACCATCGCAGGAGCATGCGCGGGTAGGTGAGGTAGAGGAAGCTCCCGCCCATGGTGGCCCTGCTGGTCTTGTCCCCCACGATCGTGACGTACTTCTTGGCCATGCCGATGCACTCGGTGCCGCCCACGCAGTCGATGATGGCGTCGGGCGCAAACGTCTCCACCGAGCGCCGCACCGCGTCCTCGGCCATGGTGTAGTCCGTGACCTGGTGCGCGCCTTGCTGCTTGACAAAATCGAGGTTGCGCCCCGAGCACGTCGTCATGATGGTCCAGGCGCGCCGGCTGGCCAGCTGCAGCATGTAGATACCCGTGGCCGAGCTACCCCCCAGGATGGCGACCTTCTTGCCCGGCGACTTCTCGACATAGGGCGCGACCTTCTCAATGGCCGTGTAGGCCGTCAGCCAGACGAGGGGGAGGCTAGCGGCCTCGTTCCACGACATATGGGGCGGCTTCTTCACAACGGCGCTGCTGCCCAGGTTGATGTGCGCCGCCTCGGTCAGGGTCCCCGAGCCGTCCATGGCCATAGTGACGCCCATGACCTCGTCGCCCCGCTCGAAGCCCGTGTCCGGGGCCGCGCCGAGGACGATGCCGGCAAAGTCCTTGCCCACGACTTTTTCGCCATTCAGTCCGGGGACCGAATTGAGGCTAAAGTTCATCAGCTGTATATCGACTGGATTGAGCGCAGCTGATTTGACATCGACCAGGAGATGATTAGGCGAGGGTTTCGGTGGCACTTTGGTGTCCTTCCATTCCAGGGTATGGGGATACCCTGCCGTGGTGAAGACCCATGATTTGACCTCAGCCATGATTGTGTAGTATGCTGAGCAACGACTGTACTTTTGTTGAGGCCAATACTTGGACGAGATGAGATGATTGGCAGCCGATTTTTGAGCAAAAGAAGTGTGTATTCCACCATTGAGGATTGTGGGCGATTGTCCGGAAATGCCTGGCTGTTCTTGTCCGTGTTGGAGCGGGGTCCAAAGTTTATAGGCAAGAAAACGTGGCGATGATGTCAAATAATGCGACCATCGCCAAATATACTCTACCATGGAGCTTCAACTTTGAGATGCAGCATTTCACTATGGGTTAGGTGACGGAACGCCACATTTTCAGAGTGCGATCGGGCGTTTTGACAAGCCAACGGCCTGCTGGGCCATGTCTTTCAGAGTGAGTGCCTGACAGAAAAGAACTCTTTGCATACGGTATGTTGCATGCAGAGATCGGACTCGGAGGAACAACAAAGATTTCTCGCGGCGCCACATTTCGTTGATTAGCATGCTGTCAACTCGATGTGCCTATCTTGGTGCAGTCAGATCACATCTGCCACGGCGCCCTGTTCGCCAAGTTTGCGCCGAGCATGTCACGTAATTCCCAACTACTAATGGTGCCGAGGGGAGAACTATTTGTCAAATGCAGCTGGGATCGAGGACGAGCATGGAAAATGGTGTATTTCCAGATACGATAGCACTTGAATCATTTTGTCTAGATGATACCGTACACCTGTACTAGTAGCGCTTCTATCGTCCATGTGGCGATTTCTGTCGGACATAATGAACTGCGCTTCCGATTCTATTCTTTAGAGTATTGAGAGAAAACAAACAATAAAAAAACCTTCCATCATTTCCTGTAGGTTCACCGTCGCTGATTCTGGTATATCTCGTGTTTATGCAAAACAGCCCGCATGCTAGGCATTCTCCATCTTGTTGTCATCCATCGTTAGTTTATATCGCCCAGGGTGTTGTTTATCTAAGCTCCTCGTCGCTCGGCGAGTTCGAAGAATACCTGCTCTCCTTCTCCTTCCTGTCACTCTTCGTCTTCTGCGGCCGATAGTTCTCCATCCCCCTGAAGCAGATGTTGGGATGGAACACGTTGAGCACCAGAACGGCAACGACGACCATGACGCCCTCGAAACCGACAAACAGGTTCTGCTCCTTCATGATCGGCCCGCTCCATCCATCGCTGAGCTCGGCGACGCGGAAGCAGCATCTCCAGAAGATGCAGATGGTGCTCAGGGCCAGCGCGCCCAGAAAAAAGCGGAAGCGCATGGAATTGCGCAACGAGACGACCGCAGGGTCCTGGTTGAGGTTCTCGCGGTGGCGGAGGGTCCGGATGGCAAAGTCGCTGGTTAAGACGATGAATACAAATAGTGTGATGACCTGGAAGGCCAGACCGGCGATCATGATGTTGTTGCCCGTCGTGAGATCGCTGCCGTCTTGGCTGGCTATCGAGGCCATAGCACCGCCGATGGCCTGCAAGAGGATGGATATCACATCACAGGGGATGAACTAAGACAAAAATTGTGAGTAGGTACATCAGGAAATAAACATGAAGAAGAATAGAAGAGTCAGTACTAACAATTCGGGGATACCATGTGGGCTTGATCCTCGAGTTCTGCGCGCCGAAAGCCATCACGATGCTTCTCAGGCAGAAGTAGATACCAGCAGCCAGGAAAGCAGGGGCGATGGTCAAGCAGCAGATCTGCATGAGAAATCCCGTTTGGCTCCATTGATCTTGCCAACTTAAGACACGACCCAGGTAGCCTAGAATCTCGCCTAGCACACCGAGCAACATGGCGACAGAGAAGCCTACATTGCGGAAGCGTGTAAGGACAAAGACGCCGGCGAAGCCCAGGAAGGAAAGAGAAAAGAGGCCAAGGAAGAGTGCGTTGGGAGCGATCCAGATCCTGTATCCGTAGTATGATTCGTCATATTTGCAGAGATCGGGGTATACGTCGACCAAATCTTTGCAGTGATCATATATCTCCTGCAACTGGGTCTCGTTCGTGCCCGACATCTTGTGTTTGACTCTCGAGAAGGTCCACGCTGATCAAGGATGTCGAGTCGGCGCAGATTGCTGATGATGGTTTGATATTATATCGCAGTAATCGAAAGCGTCGGATTGGTCGATAGAGTGAGTGCAAATGGTTATCAGACAAGACGGAAGCCAGTCAGATCGGAGTGTAGAATCGAGTTTTTGACTTGGATAAAATATCGGGCATGCATAAAAACTCCAGTCGATTGTACAAAGGTGGCGGATACTGAAATATCAATTGTCTTTTCTACTCCGGGATCCGAAGAGACCGAGCAACATTTATGTAGAACGAGTTTGACCAGCAGAATCCAGCTTATGGGTACCGGGACCGGTCATTATGAACCACGCCGTCTCCTCGCACCGCCCCCCTTTGGGCATTGCAGAACAGGCATACGGATTCTGAACTGCGCCGACCATCTGTCATCATGGGCTGAGTTGTTTCGGTATGCGGCCGGGCGACTGACAAAATCTGCAGCTCGAGCAACATCTCCAGTATCCGTACGAACCGGCCAATGAGCGGCCCTCGTGTTCTGGAACATAGTCTGAAGCTTCGAACGCTAATGGTGATCCATCTCGAAAGGGTTAAAAGAATAGAAGGCTTTGCTGCCGAATCGGGTCCGAGTGCGATCCATCGGCCTTGTTTGTTACGGGCAACCCAAGGGCTTCAGCACCGCTTACATACACGACCAAGTTGCTGACGAAAATCAGGTCAGATCGGTCTTCCATTTTATCAGACTCTCACCACAGCCCATTAATGCCAAGCGTCGCAAAATGGCCGAGATGCTCCATTTCGATTCGCAGCTTTAGCTTTGAGCGGCATGGGGGACGGTCAGGGACACGCGTAATGTGGTCGGAAGCGTAATGGTCGGAAGCGAGAATAAGCCAGGTGCTGAGAACCGAAACCCGAATAAATATATGGCAGCCTAACCTAGCGTGATCCGCTTGTTTCTCCAAGACGTAGTTCTGATTGGTTTGATCGTACAGATATGACAGGCATTCATCTCCTTCTGTGGCTCTGCTACCATCTAAACGTGTTGACATTCGTATGTAGAAGCGAGTGCGAAACAGATTCTGGCACTGAACTTGGAAAGAAGACGACTTAGACATCTTGGCTGCACTAGCAGAGCCCACTAGGATTGGATTCCCAGATCTGAAATGGTAACCATGAACAGATTTTGAGTCTGTGCCCCTCGCCTCAAGGACGAAATCCCCGATAGTCTGGGCTTCTGCATGAGGAATGGATGGATATACCGATGATCTGAGGTTCCATTCCATCGGGATCATACGGCAGATCTTCAAGCCTTGCGCAATGCGTAAGCTGGCTGTGTGGGACCAGGCGTCCTTTCGGTTTGGTGTACGAGGGATGGCCAAGGCCCAAGGATCGTGGCCATGATAAAAACTGCCGCTCAGGCTGCTGAATCGTACCTGAACATCCTGGTCTTGGTGAAGTGGCAGCCAAAGCGAGTGA